ACCCTCATGACCCCCGGGTCATTTTCAATGTTTAAGATTTTATAATAATAACAAAAACAATAATTTATTGCATTTAAACATTAAAAATACATTATACAAATAAAATCATATTTAACTTTTTTTTACTAATAACTAATAAATGTATTGCTATAAATGCATTGAATTATAGTAATATGTCCTAATATCTATTGAATATGTACCCAATTATGACCTAAGAGTTCCCAAAATATCCCCTAAACTTAACATACTATTATATGCTCTAAAAAATTGTAAATTGTAATAGTTTTGACATTTTCAAGATTTAATGAGCTATTAAAAAAAGTTCTTTACACTTTACATTATAGGTACTAGAATACTTCCTATTATATTAATAAATCTAAAATATTTGGGTAAGACAACAGTGTAAAAAATCCTAACATGTGCAAAAAATAAGATTTTGTATAAAAAATCGTTAATTCATGAACCACATTTTGATACAAACTACTAACAAGCAATTTGTTTATACCGAACAATATAAAAAGATGCAAACGCATATAAATATCTCCCTTAGTAGTTAGTATAATAATAGTAGTAGGCAGTATTTCTTGTAGTGATTTGTAGTACTCTTGTTTGGTGGCTTGTCTTATATAATAACACATTGGTATATTTTTATTTTACGGTACCTATATATAATAATATATTATATCTGAAATGTATTTGAGTGAATGTTAACCTCAGGGGCAAAGAAGGTTATTCTCACCCCACCACTCCCGCCCAGAAAATTATGTAGGAAAATGTTAAAAACAATACACAGAATCTTTATTTACAAAACAAAATCTATGTATATATCTTTTTTCATGCTTGAAAATGTGTCAAAAATCATTAACAGATATACTATGATACTGTGATAGAATTATAAATATAGGTATTCAGTCATGTCATATATATATTTACTAAATAAAAAAATGAATTATTATTTATTTAATTGATAATTAAATGTTATAGTCTTCTAATAACGTAAAATATGATTTGTAAAAAAATGGGCCGATAAAGTATTTGAAAATCATTTTTGTGTTAAAATTTGTACGATATAATATACATCTTAAGTTATAACAAATATATAAATCACATATTAAATAGACAGTATTTTCTGATTCAGATAACCCTATGAATCCCAAAAACAATAAAATGTCAAATACTGGTACTCGCGTAATAAAACATTTCAGTAAACTAAAATGATTTATACTATTGTTACTATTACTCTTATTAATATTAAATATAATAAATAGACAGAAAAGAAAAATACAACTAATCAGCATTTTCATAACTTCTAGTTTCCACCTCATTATTAGTTATTAAATGCAAAATAATCTGTAAGTAATTCGATCTGCAAGTTGCGGATAATTTATCCGAGCTTTATGAAAGTCCAGACCGGAAGTATTTAATTATATAAAATATGCGTTGTGTATAAATATAAATACCACGATGAATCTCGATATATATATCTCATATTATATGTACCATTTTCAATTTATAACAATATTAACACTAATACTCAATACACTTACCTACTTCACTTTGTACATTAGTAATGTCAGGTACCTACCTACTATAATAGTATGGAAGATGAAGACAGAAGATACAGAAAAAAAAGAACTTGATTTGAGTGTATTAGAAAACACGAATGGTCTATAATAGGTAATTCTATTTGAACGTCAAATCAAAGGGCAATCATTAAAAGGTTAACCTATCGATATTTCATGAAAACAATGTCACATACCTATACCTTCTTCACGTTTATTGGGTTTATTCGTATTTTGTACGAATTATAATTATGAACGGCGTAAAGCCATATTAATTTTATTAGTTACAGGTATATTATTATAAGTTATGAACAAAAAATTAATAATATAGGTAATCAGTGTTAATCTATAAACTTTTGATTTTTTCTATATTAATCTAGTAACATTGACATATTTTAGCTTAAGAGTTTTAAGAGCATGTCTGAAACTGATTTTGGCCCACGATCACCGGAGAAACCGAACATCTTTGAGGAGAAACGCCGGTGCAAAATCAGGGAATACCCATTGCCATCTTACAGACATATTGCACCAAAGGCAACATGAGGAATGAGGATTTTCTGTGGACTGTCGGACCGGGGTGCCGGGTGGCGACCGAGCCTGCAGGAATTCTAGTTGGGCCTGGACGACGGCGCAGTGCACTACAACTGACGGCCGGCTGCGACTCACTACTCAGCCTGCAGTACTCTCGACGGAGCAAGATCCTAGAGGATGTGGTGCTCTACGTTCTGTAGGTAAACGGGGCGTTTGGACTAGAAAACTTGGCTGGAGATCGAGATATGCAGCTTGCGTCAGACCCGGAGACGATGAAGGGTAGAACATTTCTAGGTGACAGCGAAACTGATCGAAGGGTAAGTTAATAAATGGCAGTGGCAGTTCAAAGAGCGCGACACGGCTTCAACAATAAATTCCGGCGAGCATAATATTATCACTGTAAACTCGTTTGTTAATTGTATGCTGAAAATATGAAACAAAAATAACAATTTTTCACAATTCGTCTACATTGTTATTGTTGACACTAAATAATTCATAACACTGTATACTTATAACTTACTTATGTGGTCATTCTATTAGCATTATTATTTGCTATTAGGTACTATATAATTTGGATACAGTGGTCACAACATAAATCGTTTCATTTCTTGTCACGTTTCTTAGTGAACTGGCGAACTGCCACATTTTTTGGATCTGCCAAGCACCTTCTTACTCTCATCAGTTTCACCGTCACTTTCGTTAGTTCCTCCGCGGTCATGTCACCATCACCGGTAATACATAAACGTATATATCTACATTCTACATAGGTAGGTACGATACACTAATATACGAAAATAATAACAACTGCAATCATCGTAGTTGCACTCTTCTGCAAGGGAAACGTTATATTATCTATGGTAAGCGACAAAGGACCTACAGCACTCGAACCTGTGTAGGTAAGCTTTACAGTTTACATCAACGTATAATAGGGGTGCCTACAGGCTACAAGCAAGAAATTCGATTTTCGAATATCGTCGAGGCGGAGCCGCGGAGGCCATCATACGCGACTTATATACCTATATATTATTTTACGTAAGTTGCTATATTAACTACGTGAATGGTAGGTAACGAGATTATAATAGTTGTATAACTATTATTACATTGTATTATTCGAGTGCACGATTATGCGTCGAACGGACTGGTAAGTAAGTCTTGTATTCGAATACCAATAATACCATATTATGTATTACCTATGTCAGATAATAACAATTAATAACAATATTATACTATTATGAATTATGATACGCTTACACAGTTACACGCGTACCTATACATGTTCTAACACGACTCGTGTCATATTATATTTTTATATTCCAATCTCTCCACCCTTCAGCATATAGTTGATAATATTTCATTACATGATACTTAATTTCTAAACAGTAGACACTAGACAGTAAACAGAAGAGTATTACAACTAAAATTGTTATGAAAGACAAGTGATAACATTACAACTAGCGGTGGACCTGGGATTTTGTTGGGGGGGAGAGGCAATATTTTTTACATCAGTACATATTTTCATAAAAACACTTATATTAGTTTAATGGTACCTTAAAATATATTATTAAATATAATGTAATATGTAAGTGTACGCACATAAAAATATAATTAAAAGTAATGTTTTATAAACGAAATTGTAAACGTCTCGAATGTCGTTTTGCAAACAAATAATCTATTACTTCTTCTGGTTTCATATCGATTTGATGATGAATATTTAATAACGATAACCCATTCAAACGATTTTCTCCCATTGTCGTTCTCAAATACGATTTGATTCTTTTTAAGCTAGAAAAAGATCTCTCACTTGTTGATGTCGTTACAGGTAATACAGCGAGAATAAGTAATAGTTGCCGTATGTTTGGGAAATATCCACCTTCAAATGATCTTAAAGTTACAGTTTTATGATATTCTCTTTCAGAATGTTTTTTAAAATCATATAAAGCATCTTTGTACTTAATTAAAGGAGTTTCTTTTAAAATTCCAAGCCTTTGTCCCCCAACACCAACCACATTTGGCCCAAAAAGTACACAACCTTTGCAAAAAGCTCCCTTACTTAAATGACTATAAGCTAACCAATTGTATTTATCTATACATTCAATACGAAAACTTCTACTATGACTATTTTTATCTTTTGTTACTGGAATAATTAATTTTTATTTGGAGTCCACGTTTTACTTAAAAAATTATAAAGTCGACTTAGCTCTTTTCGTATTTTAACATTACATTCTTCTTCAACTGCAAATCCTATATCATACTCTTTAGTATCATTGATTTCCGACGAATTAATGTCAACAGCTGGTTCTTGTTGTGAAGCAGTTTCATTAAAAACATTTTCACTAGTAGGAGTACTATAAATTGACATCAACTTTATTTTTAAAAGAAAGAAGTAAATATTTCACTCAGACGTTTTTGTGACATTATATAACGAATTACGACAAGACGATACTCATAAAAATGACAAAAGTAAACTAAACCAAACCATACAATATATTAACCTATTACTAATAATTTTTCATTTCAAATAAGATATTTGACACTGGCTGCAAGGTATGTCGTTTTATGTCGATCTAATGGGCGATAAGATAAGACGTTACATTAGCTATAGTCTATATAGTTTCAACTTTCAAGGTTGACTTCCATCCTTAAATCTGCCCCTGATTACAACAACTACTTTGAATAGGTATTGGACTAGTGGGTGAATTTTTATTTGTGTCTTTACTATTCACCAAGTCACAACTATTAATATGATCGGATTGGCAATGGTCAAATTATTGTTTAATTCCTAGTTTGTCCCTGCATTTTAAATTAATGATTACAATAATTTTAAATTGTTGGAAAATATTGACCAATAGGTACAAACACACAAATTCAATTATTGTAGATAATTAAATAACACAAAAAACAATTGTATTCTGTATTATACTATTAACTTACATCGTTTGCTAAAATATATTTTAACGTATTATTTATGGCCAATCTTTAGTCTTGTTTACAAATTATTCAACAATTATAATCTTAAACATAAATAAAAAAAAATTAAAACAATAATATCCTAATTAGTAATTATAAATATTTTGAAACTGGTACAAGTACACTTTTTCAAGTTCGTGATAGTTTACATGGAATGGCAATTTTATAATTATTGTTTTAAATTATTTATTACATGAGTTGTTCTTAATCAATTTATACATAATTGAATGTTTATGCATATTAAAAATAACAAAGTTTTTCAAAAACAAATTAAAAACAATTAATTATCTAAATAACATGTATAAAATAGGAAAACAATCTAGTGATGGCTGAATAATTGAGGCAGGATTTACAAAGGTATTATAAAAGAAAGAAATATGCACACCAAAATCATTCAAAAAAGTAACGGGTGAATTATTTCAATGACGCAACCCAAGGCTACACATTTCTTTTAAATAAAAAAAATGTTTCAATATGAGTAAAATAAATCTTTATGGTAACTAACATAAGTCTATAAATGCTAAGCTCATTTAAATTAAACACAATAGTATTATACATAATTCAAATAAATTCAATTACTCATTAAAAATAATACCTAATGCTGATCAATTGAATTTATTAATAAAATATATAATAATAAATATTTAATATGATTACAGATTGACTTTAAAATGACAATGGAGAAAAATAAAGAAAAAATAAAAAACTTAAAATAATGAATGTCACAGGTTTTGATCACAAGTCTCAAAAGTGAATATAGCACAATATGATCACAATTCTCCAACATTGTTATACCTCTTCAATTTTGTTGGAAATACATCTCTGTACAAAACAGGATCAACTCTATACTCGACAGTCTTTAACGGCATTCTACCATAAATAGCAGTAAACATGTTCACACATGATGTTCTTGTAGCCATGTGTCCTTGGTCAGCTGATAACATTTCAGTATTTGTACATTGCGGACACTTGAACTTCTTTTTAGGAGTTACCTATTGAAAAGTAGAAACATTTTAAATATTGAAAGGAAAAATAATTTATGCAACAATTACTTTAATTGGAGCTTTGTTGGTAGTATTGGACACTAAAAAGTTCATCGCAATGTCTTCACAGTTCATATGATCATCTACCCATTGTTTGATATTATTAGGCATGATATATGTATAAGCTTGATTCCAATACTATTTAGGAATGTATGAAATTCAAAATTATTTTTATTGAAAATAGATTTATTAACAATAAATGTTCTTACTTTATGGTAAAATGCTGCCCCGGTCAATACCATAGATATTTCATTTTTCCATTCCGATTCATATTTCCAAGTATTAGTTTTGTTATTCCATACATGAGTTCTAGATGGGAAACCTACTATATGATCAGGAAATTCTTTCCAAACCTAAAGACAACAAGCATTAAAATTTTTCTTAAAATTTTAAATACACATTTACCTGAAATCCAAATTCAATTTCATCTAAGGTCAACATAAGTATATCATCGTCCAGAGATAAAACTGCTTCTGTTTCAATTTCTCTATAGGGGAAAAATCGATTTGATAGTTTGTTTGCTGTTGTTTGTACAACCTTTAGAGATACATCAATTTTTGGCCACACTGAAACTTCATTTAGTAAACTGTTTATAGATTACTTTTTTTTTAATATGTTGAAACTTGAAATACTTACAATGCGGTGGAGATTTTAACTGATTATTCCAAACAACAATAATCTTTTGCAGACTTGGCGCCTTACTGATCATATTTATTAGTGTAAACAAACTATCTATTCTATCATAGGATAATATAATAGCTGTGAATCCTGAAGAATCTGACATATATGGTAGGAATAATGGATTTCTGGCAGATACCTAAATAAATCAAACATGAAAAACTACTGATACAAACTAAATTATTAATTCCAACGTACGGGATGTGGTCTTAAATTCCAATTTTCATAAAAATTCGAGCTATGTGGATGCAGTCTTTGGCTTAATATCTTAAGAGTAGTCATGGTAATTTTTTTCAATGATGATAAATATGTCTGATATAGCCAACGGCCTTGAGCTGACATTTCTTTCCGTCGGTCCAAAGGAATACCAGAAACTACATCTAGTAAAGTATTTAATTCAGTTTCACTCCACATAATTACGGCTCTATCAAATAAAAATGAAAACTTTTAGTTTTATTTAAAAATAATGTACAACAGAAAATACAAACCTTTTCCAGTCTATAACTTCAAAAAAAGGTAATACAACATGATTAATAGCTACTATTGGTATGCATCCAGCAGCCAATGCATCAATAAAAACCATATCCATTAGCCGTGGACCAGGCAATATCAAGCAAAATACACTGTCCTGAATTACACAAAAATGAAAAAAACGGAAACATTAGTTAATATATTTATTTTCATACATTAGATATATAAGTTTTTCTGAGTTATATTTACAGCAAGTATGTCTGCATAGTTATAAGTAATGTTTTCGTGGCAAATTATTGTTCTATCGTGTCCACTATGTGAGCAAGGTTCTATAACTCTAATAGTTGAAGTTGTTATATTCTGTGTCATTGATTTTTGTTTTTCAATTGATTTCAAAGAAGTAATGAAATCATTGTGAAGATTTGTTTGAACTGTGCTAATAAATGTTGTCCTGAAAATATTAGAAATCTAAATAGTTTATTTCATTTATTACAATTAATTAATTTTTTTACCTGTATTTAAAGGTATAGTTATTACTTAAAGAAACTGCTAAATTGCTATAAATTGCTATTGAAATATCAAAAGATGATCTATATGTCCAAGAATCAAAACCTGCACCAGCAACCATGGATTTACCAATGGATAAATCAACAACAGTTTTATAGTCTGGTGCTGTTCCAGGCACCATATTAAATATTAAATGGTTCTGTCCATCATTCCAACTAAATAATATAAACAAAGTGGTTAGATGATTATTCTATTGTTATTTATTATTATAAATCTAACTCACTGTGGTAATAATGCAAGAGCCTGTGATGTTTCTTTCACTCGAAACCGGTTTTGATTTAATGTATCAATTGATGACACAAAAACACATGCTTCTTCTGGATTTGTTGTATGGTACTGGCTCTCTACTATTGCACTCAATATAGTATGATATTCTTTGGAAATTTTACCCCCGATGGGAATGAAATCCTTGTCAACATGTCTGGCCATCGGATAAACATAAACTTTAAAATCACCATTAAACTTATGGCCACACCTATATATATTGAAACAATCGTAGAATGTGCATCGAGAGTTTGTCGGAACAATTGGACTGTCTTCGGGAATAACATACTGACGGACTTCTTGAATTTTAGGAGGTTTCTGGAGAAGCGTAAAGACGTGTGGCAGAACAACTACATAAACAAAGGACAGCAGAAATGAAATGAATATAGAAATGTAGATCAACTTTCGGTGTCTCAATAGACGGCAACATGCTAAACGAATGAACATGGTTTTGTCAGTGACGGTCGTGAGGCAGATGCCTCATGGAATAATTCGAGCGTTGGCTCGGCGATGGTATTTTCTTCATTGCAAGTCGCTCGCCCATTACACAGTCCACTCGTTTAATGACATATTCGAATTAGGTAAATAATATAAAAAATAAAAATAATAAACACTTTTTAGGTAAACACACGTTAGAATGTTGCTTTATTTTCCGCGCAAATCGATCTGTCAGCAGTGTTAACTACAGACCCACTCAGTTCAAATGGTCGTACCATTTTATGTTCCTAATCCACGTCTAATTATTTAAAACAATAATTCGTATTTTAAGTAATATTATTAAGTAGTTAAAAAAAAATTAATAATCGTCATTTTTTACTTAATTTCAAATACATCTTAAGAGAACATTTTATTATTATTATTATTATTATCTTATCGGTTATCATACCCACAGAATAAATAACTTGATGCACTGCATATTCCCCAGTGCATACCGAACACAGATATTATAAATATTTTCATGACGTCATAAAATTATCTTTTACGTTTTGAGGTTTTGATTTGATTACTAATTCATGAATGTTTCGCTGAAAAGTTTAAACATCAAAAAGTGAAATTACGAGGCTATAATAAGGTAAATAATTATAAATCTTTTTATATATTAAAAAATACTGCATGATATCACATAATATGTCAATATGTCTTATTATTATACGGATTAAAGTGATAGGTACTCGTACTAGGTAGCTGTAGTACAAAAATAGAATACCTAGCTAAGTAATAAAGAAAGTATTAGGTAACTAGTAACTGCCTAATAAGTAAAAATATTGTATTTTATTACTGTTTCTGAGTTTGGGGACATTTAATAATGTTCACTCAAAAAAGGTACTGAAAAAATATACAAAAATAAAAGGAACCTTTCTGTTTTACTGGACACCCTTTCTTTTGCAATTTGTATTGGTTTATCGCACAGTATCGGCCCGTGCGCAGGATTTCAGAATAGGGGGTGTTTTGAAAAAAAAAATGTATAACCAAATTTATAGTCTTCTGCCAGGTGTCCAAATCAAATGTTGAAGTCCCGGAAACAAGTCAATAGTTTCAGTTGCAGGTTTATTCACATATAATCCTATGTCATGTTGGTGCACAATCTCTGGAAGTGACACTGATACATTTGTTTCTGGAGATACATTTTTCGCTGGTTCAGTTGGTTGTGACTGGTTATTAAAACTATATTATATTATTATAGTATTGTACTATTATGTTATGCATTATTATTTATTACAAATAAGATTAGAAAATATGACATATATATGTAATAGATCATACATGCAAAACACGATTTTTTCGGCCATGGGGGGGGGTTGACTCCCCCCCCTTGCGCACGGGCCTGGACCTTATACTCAGAGTATACCTACAGCGGTGTATACTAATTGGTTCCCAAATGTCCGAATTATTTCCCAGATTGTTACGAAGGGTAACATCTCAATTGGTTCTCGGGAAAAAGTAAACATTTGTGGCTATTGTCATAAATGTCATTTTTATTTTTAATTTAATTAATTTTTCTTTTTTTATAAGTATTACTTTTCATATATTTGTAAAAAGTCATTATAAATGGTAATAATAATAATAATATTCTACTCGTATTGAGATAAAAATGTGCAATAAACATTTTTTATAAATTCTAATCCATTGATTTCATTATTTTTGTATTCGTCCATTTCATGTTTTTAAAAAAAAACCTTATTTTTAGATTTAAGGTTCTGCAGTTTGTTTGTACTTCGCAATGTAACATGTGTTTCAATTTAAATTTCTTTTAATACATAAATTAATTGAAAAATATTCAGATTTGCGGAATAGAAGCAACTGTTAATCTATTTCATTTGTACTTATAATGTTAAATATGTTTTAATAATATCATTAGATCGTATTTCGCCTTTTTCGATAGTATTATATATAAATATATAATTTTTTTTTTACTAGAGCTTCTTAGTACACACTATGATTGGGGAAGGGAACCAATTCAGATGTTTGTTGCGTGGAATGTCGGGAACTAATTCGGATTTCAATATTCAAGTATGGGAACAAATTTCTGATGCAGCCGTTTATTTACAGAGTTTACTGAGTATAAACTATAAGGTCTATTGTTTAGCATACCTATGTAGTTAAGCCTGCTAAAAACGATAATGATCAACAGTTTATTATATAAGTTCGCCCCCCCCCTCTTGAAAACTGTCTAGGGACGCCACTGGTTACTTCAGTAGTGAAGTGGTTATGCAGTTAATACCACTGCAGCTGATTACAAATAGGCATTCCCAACATATTTACATATTTTTACAGTTATTCTTTTATACTTAGCTTACCTAAGAAAATAACGTTTGAGATGTAAAAGGGACTTCATCTTACTACAATAATATTAAATAAGCTTTTAAAAAATAGGAAATGTTTGGGCAATTAAAATAGTGGGAGCTTAGTCCTCCCTATTGGCGTCTATGATGCTATCTAACCTAAAATATATGGAATAATAACTTTTAAATTTTAATTGTACACGTCTTAACAATAAGTCAATTATGTATTTATATACAATGTACATACAACTATAAGAGTATACAGCTTGGCCGTCATTTTTGGAATTTTAAGCCAATTATACGAGACATTTGGTCAACACTATTTGTTCAAAATAAAATGGATCAATACACTAATATACTATGTACCCACTACCCATTACACACACATATTCAAACCAATAAGTATACTTATTGTGTCTTAATGCGCTACTGATATGCGACATTGCGACGTAAAAGAGTATTATAACTTCTTATATGTTATATTATTTACAATGTTCAAGAGGTCGGTTTAGACATTTGAGTGTTTGACTATACTACTATAGTGTCTAGTACTCTAGTGCATTTAATATGTTAAGTATAGCCTATAGGTTCTTAATCAATGCTAGTATACCTAGACAAATAATATGTGTAGTCCTCAAATAATTAGGTACCTAACCTACAGGAGTATATTTATAATTTCCATACATTTGATTAATAATTCGTACCTATTCATAGGTAACCTTTTTAAAATTAAAATAAAAAACAGTCATAAGGTTATGTTTTTATAAACTTATTTGTACAATCTAATATCTTTGTTCACAAAAATTCAAGTACCAATTCTAAGTTATACCCTAACGGGTAAGGCCTAACCTATTAAATAGTAGATATCTTATGGCTATAATATTATCTAATAGAAACGCATATTATTATTACTTATTAAACGTCTAAACGGTAATATCAAGCCTTAGCCGGACGATCTGGGACAAATGGACGTAGCCGTTTGGACGTGGGGACAACTGGACGTCAAAAATTTAAATCAGTAAATAAAATTAATAGGTTATTTATATTCATTATAATATTTATGCGTCAAACAAAAACGAATATACAAATTATTTATTATATAAAATATTAAAATTAAAAATGTATCTAAAACAATTTTTTATTATAATTATAAGTACACCAGCAATTAAAATACAATATCCAAAAAAGTTATTTATAATAATTATTATAATACATAAAATATCTAAGATGTTTTTTTTTTATATTAATGCAGAGAAATATTTTGAGCGATTCCGCGTAAAAATGATATTTTAGTTCTTATTATAATTAATAGTCTGTTATAGCAGTATGCACACGAGCCTATACTTTCTCTTTTATACCTACATCACCAAAACCGTTTTAAACCATCAGAACTAAAAGCGTCAAATAAGTATACATGAAACCATCATCCAAAAATACTTCACCATCGCGATTTGATTTAACTAACGACATTTTACATGTATACTTGTACGCAATTTATACACGACTAACACGATAAGTGTGTATTGTCGTGTATCGCTGTGTTTCGATAAAGTGTGATAAAAAAAAAAAAAAAAAAATAAGAAAAAAATACCTAATACCTATTGCCAAAACGATAAAATTCAATCTATAGGTAATACCTAGGTAAAATTCAATAATAATATCGATAAGGTTCGATATTATACGATACCATTAGTTATAACTTATAACTTATATTATGAACATATAATATCAATGGTTTTATAATTTATAAGCATAAACCAGAATGATTTATTTTCAATTTTTTTAAATATATTAAGATGATCGATTATAATATTATTTATTTAATTTATATATATTTTTTTTTTGACTTCCAATTGTCCCCACGTCCAAACGGCTACGTCCATTTGTCCCTCTTCGTCTTGATATTACCGTTTAGACGTTTAATAAGTAATAATAATATGCGTTTCCAACAACAAATATTCTTTCTCTAGAAATGAAACTCATAGAAATAAACTCATAAAAATGTCTTATATTTATGGGGGGGGTAAAATTAATTAAAAATATTTTAATACACAACACTCCGTTTAAAGCAAACGTCCCTTTGTCCCTAAAATATCCTTTTACAAATCACAATGACCTTGGCATTAAATAAATTGAGAATGAAGCTGTACATTTTTAAAAACGTTCAAACGAGTTTTTTCTAGACTAGAAAACCACCAAAATCCACTCTTTGTAAATAACCTACATCCCACCAATTGCCATTTCAATAATGAATAAAAAGCTCAGAGAAAAAATCGTTCGGTACATTTGATGTGATGCGTAAGTAAATGTAAATATTTTGTATATTTGGTCAGTAGTTTTGTACTTTTGTTGATTTTATTTTCGCATACCTATATATTATACTAAATATATGTACAATTATATTTGAATACCCTCTGATAACCTTTGACCCACCTCGTACCTACATTTATTACGTTTTGTTATTATTATATGTATACTGTATAGACTATATAGTGGTCTTTTTTATATTGTACCTCTCGTTTCCATGACTGCACTTAACACACATTATATCCTTGCAAGTTACAACTTACGCTAAATAAAAACATACTGTACCCTGGGTTTCGTGAAATTGCATTTACGCAATATAGGTATTGATCACTGATGTAGTGATGTCTGATACTATTACTATACTTATTTAAAAAAATATTAATATTAATAATACGTGCATAGTGCATCGATATAATATTCTGCCGTGGTGCAACTAGCGGGTGCTAGGTGGTAAATAAAGGTTGTGCCTTCACCGGACTTCACCACAAAAAGTTTTTAAATTCAAAATATTTAGTTTCGATAGATATACAAAACAATTTTATATGGTATCTGATGAATGAACTATGTAGATATTAGAGCATAAAGAAAAATATACATTTTCATGGCAATGGCGATTATTCAAGTGATTTATTTTTAAGAATTATGTAAATAAGTCGTATGAATAAATTAATAATGTGAAACAAATTTAACTATTAACTTTATTTTTGACCTATTTATTATTTATTGTATATTTTTAAGCTTTATT